ACGTCTTGGTATTTTTGAGCTACTAATTGAGCTCACAAGCATCCAGCAGGTGCATCACTGTCGTCACTTCTAGTTAACTGGAACATGGAGGCGAAATCTCACAGAAATAAAACCTAATATTCCTCTTAGCAACAGAAAGGTGTTCAGATTATGGTTTAGAATTGTGATTAATGTGAAAAAGTGTCAGGGAAGCTGCAGTGAGGCAAACATTTTGCTGCAACTGTTATTTTGTTTCTGTAAAGAAGGCAGAGAGAAAACTTTAACTTGGTTTGACAAACTAGGAGGAAGGAAAAGATTCAGATGGAAATGACTTCTGCCTGATTTAAACTTAAATCCATCCTTCTCTTTGCTGGGGTTTCTTTTTGGCGTTTGGGAAAATTAAGGATGAAATTTAGGATTCCCACCTTGGTGCTGCCCTGCTGTGTCTGACGGGTCTGAATGTACATTTTGTTACTGTATAAATTTCAAAAGCATTCATGTTTGTGTGGTTGTCGTCATTTCCATTGTGCGTTGGCAGTTCTTTGCAACTTTTCCATATTTTTATCATCTAACAACCATAAACTTATCTGGAATTATTGGGATTTTATGACAAACCAGAGCAAAGTACTATGAAGCCCAGAGAAAATCAGGCTTTTCCACATTAGTTTGTGTTTTCAAATATTTGGAAATGGTAAACCATAATCAGGCCACTTTACTCTGATCCTTCTAAATAAAATCTGGTGGCGCTTTAAGAAGTCACCTAATGGGTAAGCATGGTCCAGCTGTGTTTAGTTTAATCACACTTTAAACCCAGATGTTTTGTTTCTGGCCTCAGAGGTTCCTTAGAGAACAACCAGCATCATGAAGACCAACGAACCCAGCAGACAGGACGGACCGACGGACCCCCACCACTCTGACAGGTATAATCTTACTGTCTCCAAATGAATTTGAAACATGTCAAACATCATATTACTGACAAAACGGCACAAGTTTGATCATTCAGCATCAACTGACTGCAATGTAAAGTGATGCAAAAGAAATGCAGAATGTGCCAAATGTTTTATTTTCGATTAATTGTGAGAATATTTGATAGAGTAATCGATTACTAAAGTAGCTGCAGCCCTAATCTAAGCTCAACAGTTTACCTCTGTTGTAAAAGTCACAGGCTGGACCGGAGTCCTTCCTACCAGCCACTTTATTACCCAGCATGCTTTTAGAGACGGATAATCATACCATGCAATAATACAAAACTTTAAAACGGATTCAATAAAACTTTTTTAAGTCGAACTCAGATGAAACGTTAAAAACTCAGTTTCCAGCCGATTTTGGACCTTTTTGTTGAACCAAAATGTGACTTAAAGGAGAAAATGTTATGAAGAACAATCTCCAAATATTTATAATTATCCAACCGTTCAGTGGAAGCTGTTTACTGCTGCTGTTGATTTCCTGAAGTCGGTGATCCTTTCCTTAGTTTGATATTCAAAAATGGCTCATCAGACCCAAAAACAAAGTCATCCACATCAACCCAAAACTAACAGTGACTTTAAAGGGCCAGGATTATGTGTTTTAAAGTCACATATGGCCATTTATAACTTAACCAAGTGACTATGTCAATTTCAGTTGTTATAAAAATGCTATATCTGTCAAATATGACTCAAAATAAATGTTACCTCCTCTTTTAATCCCTCTGAATTGGGCTTCTGTCTCTTTAAAAACTATTGCGTCAAAGAATATTCACATGTTGAAATGGCCTAGTCAAAGCCCAAACATAAATCTGATGAATAATCTGTGGAAATACTTGAAAACGGACATTGACAGATGCTCAACCTCCAACCTGACTGAGAATCAGTTCAAAAATTCACATTTCAAAATACTTTATAGATTCCAAAGGGAAATAAAATAATTCAGGTTATTTTATCAAAATAACCTGAATCTAAACATGCAAACCTGGTAGAAACACTCCAAAAAGCTGCTAATACAGAAGTTAAAGTGGTGTGAATACTTCTGCAGCTGCCTCATGCAAGTGCAGGAAAGCTTGTCCTTATTTCCGCTCAGAAGCAGCTGGCTGCTCTTTCCTGGCCTAACATTAGCTTTGCTCTTTTTTACCTCAGGAAGCTATTCCTGGCCAAGCCAAGCGTGCCGTATCCCTCACCCTCTTCCCGATTCTCTCCTGTGGTGCCGAGCTGAGGTTTCTCCATGCTGAGGTGAGGAGCGGCCCGGACCCGGAGAAGACGGTGGCCCAGATACGTCTGCCTGCGCGCAGGCTGCAGCTTCTCCTCCGCAGTGAAGCCGGTGCCAGAGGAGGGTTATCGATGCGGCAAACATCCCAGAAGGATGCGATCAATCAGAGCGGCCGTGGACACAAATTTATCTTCTGCTTGGAAGTTTGGGACTTTTTTATGAAACAGGAAAAGTGGCTGAAATTCCTGGGATTTTCTTGCATCTCAGGCTGCTCTGTTTATCTTGCATCTCCTGCATGTCTGTGTGAGAGGCCTGTGCCAAGCCCACTGGCTATGGAAAAACAATTTAACTGGATTTAATTTGTTTCCCCCTCCTCCTCCTTCTCCTTAGTGTTTTTTTCTCTCGTTGTGTGTGTGTGTGTGTGTGTGTGTGTGTGTGTGTGTGTTTGGGAGTTTGGGAATTCATGCCCTGTCTGAACAAACTGCAGTGTGGGTTGGTTTCACGGCGGCTCCGTGGGCCTGTCGTTGGGTCAGGTTCTGGGATTTCTGCATTTAAAGGGTTAATAAAACACAATGACACCAGCTGCTAGCAGCTCCACCACTTTTTCCATTCTGCTGTTTAAATGAAACCTCCAGGAGGATTTTTTCATTGTCTTAGAGATGCATTTTACCTCAACCAGTCAGAATAAGTCAGGATTCACAAAGTGCTGTACATAAAAAACATTAAACATAAGTTCATCAAATGATTACTTAAAAAAAATTATAAAAAGTTGAGTTTTAACTTTACCAATCCACTGACGTCAAACTACAGAGAGGAGGTCGTTCCAGAGTCCTGGTTCTTTGACCTTTAGAAAAGAATAAAAATATCCTCCATAGTCCCACAGAGGAAAAATGCAGGTGTAACAGCAGCATCAAGGTTTTCAGGTTCACACATTAAACAGTGATAAATATAAACAACATAACATAAAACATAATATGCACTTATCAGAAATATCATACTCGGGTCCAAGGGATTTGCCACTTGCAAAGGATGACTTTAAAATATATATATAATGTATATTTTGGTGTTAAAAAGACAATTTACAAAATATGAAAAATTAAAACAGAGCAGAAATGGATGTGCAACACCAGCAGAAACGTTATTAAAATGTCAGGTTTTGGTTGAATAGACATTTTTTCTCAAGGTGTTTTTTGTTGTATTCTATTTTTTAAACCAAGAATAATAAGAGCTCTGAAACAGAACCCTGAGGCACACCAACATGAAGTGGCTTTAGGAAGAGCTCTAACTGGAAGCAGCTACACATAGCGACCAATCAGAAAGATGTGAAGAAAACGGCAGAAAGGCGGCTCCTGATGCACCGCCACAAATCCGGGTGAATGGCAGAAACGACTGAGAATCTGTCTATGAAACCCATGAAAAGCTGAAACTTTCAACAACAAAGATGTTCAGAGGATTTCCAGATGAGATGAGACTCTTCCTCACCGCTGGCTTTGATCACAAGATAAGCTGTTAATCTCTTCTTTATTTTCCTGTTAGTCATTTATATCTTTATTTACTGAAGTTTTGTAACAATAAGTTGTTGAGGTGATTCTTTCTGGAAAGTTCTCTTATTTCTCCCCCAGCAGCAGCAAACCTCTGGTTATTGAACTGCAGGATAAAGTTTTCTTCGTCACAGTTCCTCACAACTGGGTCAGTTTATCTGTATTCCTCCAGCAACTGTCAGAACCACAGGGGAAAACCTGCACAAAGGCTCTACAGCCACATGCAAGTAAACTTCACACAACTGTAAATGTCAAACAAACGTATCCTGATCAAAGCGGCAACAGAAAACCTCTAGGTTTAAGTTTCATTTATAATACCTCTGGATTTAGAACTCAGTTTTAAATACTGACAAACCAGAACGGTTTGCTTACAGTTACAGTGTGTTAATGTTAGCAAATGGCTTCTTTAAAGCCTCAGCATCTTTGTCGATTAATTCTGGGTCATTACGCTGGGCTAATGTCCCAGTAATGAGATGATATGGGTTCAGTTAAATTTCCTCATAGATTATATTAGGCTACCTCCCATGGATTCATGGCAACTTTGCAAAACGACAATTTTTATCTGCATCGTCTTAAGGTTTTAGCCACTAGCTGATGCTAATGATGATTTATTTCTCTGCCTTTAGAGAACGCTGTCAGTGGACTTCAGCCATGGAGAACATTTGCAATCATTCAGTCAGTTGTTAGAGGAAAGGAATGACTTATAACACAGAGATGTTTGTTTCAACACCAAAGTCCAACACACAGTTTATACCAAACTGGAATTTATGCTAAAAGGGAAATTTGTAATACCCAAACTTGATTTTAATATAACTTTTGTTTCAACACAATGCTAAACCAAAAGTTATGTTAAAACAGATGTTAGCAAGCTTATCATTAATTCCATTTTAGCATAAAATTGAATGATGCTAAAACAGAATTATTACAAAAACAAAATTATGCTACAATGGAAGTTATGCTAAAGCAGAAGTTCTGGTTTTGCAGTACTTATGTTTTAGCAAAATGCTAAAACGGAAGTTTGCAGAAGTTTATTACAAGAAAAACGGAAATAAAAAAAACTGAAAACGGAAGTTAAGCTGGCAAGTTTAGCATAAGTTGTGTTTTACCATCACGTCCATTTTAGCATAACTTCTGTTGTGGTTGCTTTTGTTTTGTGGCTTTTGCATTTTGTCATCCCTTCTGAGTCATCTTAGAAAATGAGATTTGTTAATTGCTGTTATATAATGAACAGAAGTGAATATTGACCTTTGCTAATACTTGTAAAGTAGGAAATCAAATTATTTACATGCCCATCATTGGTCTGCATGTGTACCGAATTACATGTGTTGGAACATTCCTTCAGTGCTTCTCACTGGTTTTAATGTCAGTGAGTTCATTTCTGGGTTGGGCCCCAGTGAATCCTAGGAACGCCTCTGGAAAGAAAACCTAAAACACATGTAAAGGTGCGGAAGGTTGAGAGAGACAGACAGCGGCCGGCCTGTGAGCTTTATTATTTATGTATTTATTTTTTGCCGGCAGTGCTCAGCCTCCAGATTATTGCGTGACTGTGAGAGTGCGCGCTCCCCGCACCTCTCCCTCTCCTCTGTTTCTCAGCAGCAGACACGCATCCATGGAGCGCTCCCGCAGCCGCCCGCAGCCTCACCGCCTCGGAAACCAGATTCTAACATGACATTAGGAGACAACCCGGCTCTCTAAAGCAGGAGCTCAGTTCGGTCCGGCCCGCTTTGCCTCACAGAACCTCCCCGGTATCACTCCACAACTTTTTACCCCCCTCTCCTTCACTTCGGGGGGCAGAAAGCTGCTTCCCTGGAATTACCGGAGCTCCTGCTTCATCCCTGCTCTGGTTCTGTGGCGGCTTCAGGAGGCAGGAAGAAGGGGTGGAGGGATCCATATGGATGAGGCAGCCGAACAGGAGATGTCTCTGCCGGGTATCCGGCGCCGGGATGGAGCGACGCCGAACCGGAGGAGGGTGAAGGCGAGACGGAAAAGGCGAAAGGAGCTGGTTTTGATCCAGATCTGCTTGTTCGGAGGATTCCTGCTGGCAGCGAAGGGCTTCTCATACTTCAAGGAAAATCCAGGTGAGAACTGAAGATTGATTGTTACACTGTGTCCTTTCAGCGTCTCTTCCCCCTTCATGTTAAAACCCCGAATGATTTATTTTCTATCTGTGTTTTTAAAACGAGAACAAACTTCATGGATCTCCGAATAAGAAACAGCTTGTTGTCAGATGAGGAAATAAATAGTCTAAAAATAAAAATGCAAACAGAGATAAACAAATGAATAAAGCTGGGGTTTTTTTTTCCAGTTCATTTAAATGATTATGGCATAGAGCTAATAAAACCCAAAACTAGAATTTTATATACTGCTAAAAAAAAAAGAGGCCCTTTAACATAGAAATGTTATGTTTTACAGCGGGGATGTCAAACTCATTTTTATTTTGAGCCATCAAGATTATAAATATCCTCAAAGAGCCAATTGTGACAAAAATACTGATAAAACCCGTCAGCAAAGAAATAAACAATATGAATATTAGCTCACTCTGCATTCAGTGAAAACATCTTAATATTTAATCTTTTTGAAAATATTTTCACGTTGATGTAACTTGACACAATACTGAAAAAAATCAGCTTCAAGCTAAACGCTGTTTACCCTGAAGGTTGTATCTATGTGGCCCTTTAGAGTCACATGGCGGGCCAGATCTGGCCCCCAAACCTTCAGTTTGACACACACGTTCTACACAATCAAGACAGATCAGTAACACCCTGCACAGGGAGAGGAAGTCACAAGAAGAACCAAGTTGGTCCCAGAAGGGCTTATCCAAGCACATGTATGGAAAGTTTAATGGAAGGAAAAGCTGTGGAGATGCACAATCATGATGGATAACCAGAGTGTAGAATGGGTAGTAAAGCAAAGATGTTTTTAAGAGTTTGAGAGAGATTTACTAGAGATGGACTGGAGTCAGAGCTCGAGGTTCGACCTCACAGACATGTCAGCAACTTGGACTAGACCCTCCAGAGTCCTTGAGTTGAGCCACTCATGCACCAGAGACAACGCTAGAGGCATCTTAGCTAAGGAGAACCAGAACTGGTCAACCAGGACATTTTACAGTATTTACAGCTTCCCTCTGCTGGCAGACTTTATGGAGATGGTAATTTTATTTTCCAGCAGGACTTTTTACAGGTCCACATGCCAAATGGACCGTACCTTCTTTTATGACCAACGAATCTCTGCAAACTCACCTGAACCCGACAAGAAGCTGTTACATCACCCGCCTGCCTCAGCGGAGCGACACGCTGGACTCCTCCTGTCACACTGGATGGACGCATTAATTCATGCGAAACCAGCCCAGTCCAGATATTAAGTTCACTCTCTGAACAGAACTTAGTTTTCTGCACAGACCCACATTTCTGTATTGATGGTTTTTTATTCAGGTGTTTTACCTGCATAGCTGTGAAATCAGGCCAGATGAACCCCGGGGTGCACACACTCTGCAACCCGATTGGTTCCTGTAAACTGATCACACACACACCTGAAGTTAACGACGCCTTGTTGTCCAGATCGTCTCCATCGTCTCTCGGTTTTCCTCTGAACTCCAAACTGGACGTGTGAGTCCAGTTTGGAGTTAAGAGTTGATTATACAATGCAACATAACCTAATGAAACTGTTGATCTTTCAAAGAAGACCTGAGTCTTCTGATCACATCAGATCATTTTAGCACTTCTGATGGTCGGGACAGCAGAATAGTTGTGATTTATGCTTCATCAGTGAGTCCAGCTTTATGGCCGCAAGTTTCTGCAGTGACTCATTATTATTGGATTGCAATGCAGGCTGATCGCATTAATGTTAAATTATTGCTCTATTGGCTTGTTTTTGTTGTTGATTTCTGGATTATTAAGAATTTAAAGTTGAGAAGTTCAGCTGCAGAGCAGAAGGTTTCAGGATGTCTAAGGCTTTCCTGTGAACTCCTGGATCGTCTTGTTTAGAGATTTTCCAGCAGAATCCTGTTGCCACCAGTGCAGAGCTTGCTCAACATCTGAGTGCAGAATGAGGTGAAGAGTTTGGGACATGAAATATTGTCCAAAAAAAACTCAAAAATGGACAGAAATGAAGACGAGCAGCAGAAAAACTGCTGTCATTTCCACTGATGAATCCTGAATGTTTGGGACATCTGCAGAGGAAGCGATGTGTGTGAGGTTACTTCTCATCCTACTTTTCTCAAAAATCCAGGAGGAGTTCGGTGTTGATCTGTGTGTTTTTCACAATGAACTAAATCATCCAAAGAACATTGAGGTTTTGGACCTGTGGTCAGAAAACTCTGTGGAGACGCACCACTCGAGGTTTTCTGGACTGATCATGACTTTTGAAGAGTTGGTTCTGATTTTGACTTTATTTGTGTTTCACATTTCATCAACAAAGGAGTTCAATGTGCTTCACAGCATAAAACAAGCAGCAAAATATTTCAAGGTCATCAAGCAAAGAAACATAAAATGTATTGATTGATGTTCCAGTTGCATCAGAGCTGGTAGGGTTTTAGTCTTGATTTAAAGGGTCTCCGGTTTTCAGCATATTTGCAGTTTTCTTGCAGTTTGTTCCAGAATTGTGGTGCAGAAGAACTGAGTGCTGCTTCTTCAACTTTTTTAAAGACTGAGAAAGTGAAAAACGTTGTGCTGCAGGTTTAATTATGGAAGAGATGGTAGTTTTAAACAGAACAAAAAATGAAGGAATTCCAGGATTATTCCCATTTAATCATCGAACCAGATCTCCTAAGCAGGAAGTGGTACTAACCAAATATTTTCCATCTTTGACCGGTTTGTTTTAAACGGTGATGGAAAAATCTGAAGACCATCTGTCACTTTGCAGAGAAACTAACCCAATCATCAGAGTATTATCTCTGAGTATGGAAGCTTTGGAGCAGGTCTGCTTCAAAAGGAGCTCCTGTCGGGGGATTTCCTCGTGGTGAAGCGATGTGGAGGGATTGCTTGATCAGGAAAACTCTCGTTCAGAAAGATTTCTAATCACTTCATCTGGAGAAATGTTCCCTGATTTCAAAACTTTGGCAGCAGAGCACAGACTTGGCCTCCACATCAAATCTCTGAGATTCAGGTCCATGTGGGTCAGGAGGAGGAAGTTGTGTTCAGGCTGCAGAAGATGAACCGTTCATCATTTAAGTTCAATTTCATAGTTTATACTGTTGGGGCCACGGCCAGTGGTTGTTGTCACCATTGAGGAAACGTTACATGGATTCATCAGCTTGAAGTGGATTCTTTGTTCAGCTTGTTGAATATTAATTAAACTGAATGAAAATTAAATAATTTTAAAAACTGACAGGAAAAATAGATTACAGCAGGATTTTTTTTTTGATGGCGTCATTAAGTCTAGTCTGAACCAAAACATTTATCTGAGCAAAGAGCAAACTCCTGGTCTGTGGATGTTCCACAGTTTGGGTGCATTTAATGGAAAATATGTCTTGAAAATCCAGATTTTTCAGTGTTTGACCTGCCTGATCCCCAGTCAGAGCAGACTGAGGAGAAACTGTCTGATCTCTGGTGAACTGATTGGTCTTTAACCCACTGAGAAGCTCAGGCCTGGAGCCAAAGAGCAGGTGGAGAAACAGAAGCCAAAACAGGGTTTGGTCCAGGAGTCCATATCCAGCTGGTCACAGTAAACTGCAGAAGTTATGAAGTAGGATCTGGTAACATGGACTCTCCCAATAAATTCCTTACATTTGCTTATAAATTAGTTTAAAACTTGAGGAATTGTTTAAATTGTCCTTCAGTGACACAGAGAAGCACAAAAATGTAACATTTATGTCACGTCTGGCTCCTCTGGCTGTGACTCTAAGCGTATTAGCTCTGCACACATTTCCAACAAACCCGATGCGCTTTGTTAACCCTCTTAAGACCATAATTGTAACTGGGGCGCCTGGTATTTTTCTGATTTTATGGCTGTAAAA